ATCGTGTTGAAAAATGCAGGGTCTTCCCTGAAAGAGATGACGTCTAGCTGGGAGCATATGTTGTTCTAGAACCTGAACATAGTTCTCTGCATTAATGGTGCTTTTCCAGACATGCAAGCTGCCCATGCCACAAGCGCTCATGCAACCCCATACCATCAGTGATGCAGGCTTCTGAACGGAGCGTTGTGTAGTATACCAAGTCTAGGTTAGCTTCAGTTAGCTTAAGAGCTCCACTACAGTCAATTTTTAATAACGGGTTCTCATTTTTCGAGCTACTTGACAGATATGTGACAGAGGTACTGTGTTGGAGATGGTCTAATCAGTGACATGAGACGTTAATTTTCTTTGACCCATGAAAATGAATGTGGTCATTTATTAACAGAATCAAAATTTAACATCAAAACATTGTACACTTGATTATGATCGGCTCTGATTAATAAAACTTGGCACGTTTTACTTAATAAAAACAACAGACATTTCTGAAGATATCTGGATTAATTACTGGCAAGATAGAAGTTTGAAGATGGGAAATGAAGGAGTTTAAATGGAGAGAAAAGATGTGGAGGAAGAAAGTGTGTTAACTAGGAATGGCACCCTTCATCCGACCCCAGCTCAGTCTCGGTACACTAGGCAGTGAAGCGACTCGTTACCTTTGCAGAAGACAGATCAGCTCCGGTACCGAGTTCCATTTCAACGCTACCTTTCAGCGTCTCCTCAGGATGGCTGAGAATCGTCCGAAGTAGTGACGGTACTCTGTTCAACAACACGCTCACCTCCCGGGTGGACTCACATGAGCTGTGAGTCCGTCAGTGGTTCCACTCAGATGTGGAAGGCTCCATAATACTGACTAGACTCGGAAGAACTCCCAACTAACTCCAGCACTTCAGAACTTTCTCCAGGCACTAGAACTTCAGAACTAGCACTCGAACTACTGGAACTAGGAAGTGTCGACTTTTAAAGAGTTCTGCTTCCGGTCACTTTTGGGAAGTCCTGATTGGTTGAAATAACCAACAGGGGTGTGGTTTTAGTGACGTCAGAGGGTCATTACAAGTCAGAAAAACATCAGAAATGTTTAGGAACGGTTAGTTACAGACGAGAAAATATTTTGGAGAAATGACAGACTTAATGACAGACAGTTTTCTTGTTTCTGTCTGAGAGGTTTAAAAACACGACAGTTCGTTCCAATAACTTGTTTCGGACTGTCTCCGACTTTTGACCGACATCACTCTCTCATTTCAGACAGAAGATCAAAATGCATAATTACTTTGTAACAGACATTTAACTTGATTTCTACTTTGAATGAGGATTAAAAATCATTAATACTGTTTCACAGTTGATTTAAAATGAGTGGTTCATTTCAACAATTAAAATGGTATGAACTAAACACACTTTTGATTATCAAGATATTGTAAAATAGTAATGATAATATGAAAAAGAGAGTGTTCTTTCAATTGATTAGTTCAGGATACAATTAGAAAGTCTCTGGATGAGCTAATTTGTATTTCTGGAATCAAATCAATGAATTAACAGTTCCTGTCCCATGAAGGTCTTCAGAGGCAGGTTTTGACCGGAGGCCGAGTTCACTACAGTTGATAACAACTTGGGCTATCCTTGTCCTCTCTGGTCCGGATGACATGGCGTCCCAGTATTCCATAAAGAACTTCAAATCGTGACTCAGCTGACCACAGAACAGTCTTCCATTTTGCCACACTCCATTTTAAATGACCCCTGGCCCAGTGCAAACATCTGAGCTTGTGGAGCTTGCTTAGAAATGGCTTCCTCTTTGCACTGTAGAGTTTCAGCTGGCAACGGCGGATGGCACGGTGGATTGTGTTCACTGACGATGCTTTCTGGAAGTATTCCTGAGCCCATTCTGTTATTTCCTTGACAGTGGCATTCCTGTTTGAGGTGCAGTGACGTTTAAGGGCCCGGAGATCACGAGCATCCAGTAGAGTTTTACAGCCTTGACCCTACGCACAGAGATTGTTTCAGATTCTCTGAATCTTTTGATGATGTCATGCACGGTTGATGATGATAACTTAAAAGTCTTTGCTATTTTACGCTGGGTAACACAATTCTGGTATTGCTGCACTATCTTTCTGCGCAACAATGGTAGAATTGGTGATCCTCTTACCATCTTGGCTTCTGAGAGACACTGACACTCTGAGAAGCTCTTTTTATACCCAATCATGTTGTCAATTGACCTAATTAGTGTTAATTGGTCTTCCAGCTGTTCATTATATGCTCAATTTCCTTTTTCCAGCCACTTATCGCTACTTGTCCCAACTTTTTGGGATTTGTTGACACTGTGAAATTTTGAATCAACATATTTTTCCTTTAAAATGTTACATTTACTCAGATTAAACTTTTGATCTGTCATCTATGTTATATTATGAATAAAATAGACATTTGCCATCTCCACATCATTGCATTCAGTTTTTATTCACAATTTGTTTAGTGTCCCAACTTTTTTGGAATCCGGTTTGTAGAATGTCGTAAAAAAGTTCAATTTTTTTGTCCATCATTTCAGAAAGTGAAACTCATGGATTACATAAGATTCATTACCCAGCATAAAATACTTCATCCTTTATTTCTTGTAATTTAAACGATTATGGCTTACAAATAATGAAAAATAAAATTCAGTGTTTCAGAAAATGAGTGTATTGTGAAGAGGTTCAATATTGGGAACTCTTGGTGTCTCACATCAGCAGTCCAGTTCTTTGTCTCCTCAGCAGGTAAGACACTTCCGACGTCTGTGGTTCAGGAGTGGCTCAACTTGAAGAACGAGACATTTGTAGCTCACGTCTCTGAGTTAATCAGCTGTTTAGGGTGTGACACCAATACTGAATATTCTAATTTTATGAGACATAGAATTTTGGTTTTTCATTATTTGCAAGTCATAAACATAAAAATTACAAAAAAAATAAAGGCTTTAATAATAATAAATTTAATAAAGGCTTATTTCACTCTATTTGTAATAAAACTATGTATGATAATATAAGAGTTTCACTTTCTGAAATGTTTTTTCCTTCTTCTTTCGGCTGCTCCCCTCTTCAGGGGTCGCCACAATGAGCTGAGTGAAGCTGACACCCCACCCACTTCCAAAATTAAAGCAAATAGTCTGAATGGTTAGTGCTCCGTTAGTGCTGGTTTGTGCCGTTAAAATTTTCGTTTGTGCTGCTTTGGTTTATGAGATATTAAAAGTTATAATTTTGACCTGTAATAGACGCTCAGGCGCGTTCACGCGTCCTCAGGCGCGTTCACGTCAGGGCAGAGCGTTTACTTAAGGCGGGCGCGCGCTCCGGCTGTAATTGTGTGGATCAGATTTGACAACAAAAACACAACTGTCGTAAATGTTTCCTTTTAGTACCTGATTGCGGTTATAAAGGACGCGTGAACACGCCTGAGCACGCGTGAACACGCCTGAGCGTCTATCACAGGTCAAAATTATAACTTTTAATATCTCATAAACCAAAGCAGCACAAACGAAAATTTTAACGGCACAAACCAGCACTAACGGAGCACTAACCATTCAGACTATTTGCTTTAATTTTGGAAGTGGGTGGGGTGTCAGCTTCACTCAGCTGCCACAATGAACTAAGTCGGACGAAGACTTGGCAGTTATTTTCACGCAGGATGTCCTTCCTGACTCAACCACAGACACCAAGCTACCACAGCCTCTGTGTGGAGCAGAGAGCTGCATCTAGGACACCCGGAGGAGCAGATGGTGGGGGTTAAGGGCCTTGATCAAGGGCCCAGAGTGGGGCGAATGAGGGTGGAGGCAGGTGTGGGTGTTTCACTTTTCCCACCCACATTTTGATGATGTCGGTACGGGGAGTCAAACCAGCGATCTTCCTATCACAGGTCCACCTTCTCTAACCTCTGCACCACCACTCCCCATCCATGATTGACAAAAAAATTGAACTTTTTCACGACATTCTAATTATTTGAGATGCACCTGTATATTGTAATCACATTCCCTTTGAGCTCCACGAAACACGTCCTACCTTTTGTCCATTTACCGGAAGTCCCCGTGACGGGCCCTTTTTTTTTTTTCAAATTTCATTAAAATATCTGAAGAGCTCGTCAGCGTTCATTCCATTGTTTGGGGTGGCCGCTGTGGATGCATCCTTTAGCAAGTATGAGAGGAATATGATTGTTTTTGGCTCTGTTCTAGCCAGGAGATTTATTTTATGCAGATAGAAGGATCTGCATCCCCCGGCATATGACTGCTGGAGAAGAGAAGTCGTGTCATTTTCAATTGAAAAAGATCAGATATACTGTAAGGGGATGTTGAGGGATTTTGGAGCATTTGGCAGCCATTTATATCTTATACTGAAAGTGTGTCAGTACCAGTTTAAGTTATGTGTGCCTGTTTGGCTGATCCAGTGTGGAAGGGGTGGGGTGGGAGGTTTTTTTAATTGCACGGTATGTTTTGTTGTTGTTGTGTGTTATAAATATAAGGGGAACAAAACAATTAAAAAAAACTTTGATTAAAATATATGATGAGCAGCCTGATTGTTGCTAACTCAACCCTCACAAATGGTAAATGGACTGTACTTATATAGTGCTCTTCTATCTGATTAAGACACTCAAAGCTCTTTAATATTGGGAACTCAATCTGTGCCTCATTTACCCATTCATACAGCTCTATACTAGATGTTTTACAAAGACTAATCAGAGCTTTATCACATTCATACACTGATGGGACACACATAGGAGGCAATGAGGGGTTCAGTGTCTTGCCCAGAGACATTTCGGCATGTGACTGCAGGTGGAATCGAACCCCCAACTCTTGCAACGAAGGACGACTGCTTTAACCACTCAGCCACAGCCGCCACAAAGCCAGCATAGACATAAAAGCTCATCTGTCAGAGTCGTTAGACGTGCATTACCCTTTAGACATATGAATGTAGCAGGTGTGGATTCTGTTGAGTCTTACAGAATAGGTGTGAGTGAAACCATTATTACCTTTCGTTTGGTATAAACAACCAGATGGACAGTTGTATCAGTTTGGAACCAGTCAAATCTACATGAACAACAAATCACATGATGAGTCTTTGTACACGTTTTAAAACTTTGTCATAGGTGTGACAGGTTTGTTTTTGTACCGAGGCCGAAAGTCGTTGTTTGGTGGAGCAGCCATGGCAGCAGGGGGTGCAAGACCTACTGGAGGTGGTGGAGGGGCTACAGCTGAGATGAAAACAGAAAAGTTACATTTCTTTAGAAAGGACCATCCAAACCAAGAACCGTACAAAATAAAAAGTAGAAGAGCACGGGTTTTTAGAAACTTCACTTTGAAAGTTAAAATCAATTGAACTCAAGATGGGTGCTACAGCCAAGTGATGTTAGAAAACATGAAAATGACTAACTCAATCAGCATCACAGATAAAACAACCATCACAGCTAGATAGTCATTCAAACATTCTTTAGCTACTAATTGCACAAACTCTTTGTAGAACACTGGAGGGCTTTCACTGAAATTTTAAAAAGTTCAATCTGGTCCTCTGGACATTCAAAAAAACAAAAAACAAAACAAAGCAAAAAAATGTAGAAACGTTTCGTCTCTCATCCGAAAGACTTCTTCAGTCTGAGGTGCTGTTTTCAGCTCAGTCTCTTAAATAGCACCTTCTCAGAGTGGATCAACCAATTTGCTGCTGACAACCAAAACCAGCTGATCACATGCTCAAGAAGGACCATCAGCCTAACAATGGATCATTAGCACACTGATGGCTGTTTACTGTTCACAGAGGGCTGAGTGATACTAGCAATCACAGCATTGTAAGAGGGGGACAGTTGAACCCGGAGGCTCCACCCCTGTTTAATGATGGACGATTTCTTTTCACAAAGATGGCCTCCTTTACTCCTCTCTCAAACCATCGTTCCTCTCTGTCCAGGATGTGCACATCTTCATCCCTGAAAGAGTGACCGCTGGCCTGGAGATGAGTGTAGACCTCAGAGTCCTGGCCTGATGACGTTGGTCTTCTGTGCTGGGCCATTCTTTTGGCCAGTGGCTGTTTAGTTTCCCCGATGTAAGACTGATCACAGCCCTCCTGACACTGAACAGCATACACAACATTACTCTGTTTGTGCCGGGGGACTGGATCTTTGGGATGAACCAGTCTTTGCCGTAATGTATTTTGGGGTTTAAAAGCCACTGGGACGTTATGTTTAGAAAATAAGCGCCTAGAACCACTAGATTGAGGAACAGCTCCTACCCTGAGGCTATTAGACTCGTGACTCTCTAAGCAGAATCATCACTGTGACAAAATCACATCATGTTGCTGCTGATCTGTTTCATGCTGCTGCTAATCTGTTCCATGCTGATGTAGTGTTCTAAGGGCTAGGTTAGCTTCAGAGCTTCACTACAGTCATATTTAAAATAACGAGTTCTCTCTTTTTCAAGCTAATTACAGCCATGTGACAGAGGTACTGTGCGTAGATGGTTTAATCAGTGACATGAGATGTTAATTTTCTTTGACCCATCAAAATAAATTGGTCATTTATTGAACAGAATCAAAATTTAACATCAAAACATTGTACACTTGATTAGACTGATCTGGTTCTGATTAATAAAACTTGGCACGTTTTACTTAATAAAAACAACAGACATTTCTGAAGGCATCTGGATTAATTACTGGCAAGATAGAAGTTTAAAGATGGGAAATATGGAGTAGTTTAAAGGGAGATGTTGAAGGAAGATGTATGTCTGTAGACCAGAACAACACGCTCCTTCCAAACGCAGTTCGCCCACGGTACACTTGTAGTGAAGCTCGTGACGACTCTTTACCTTGGCAGAGGATAGGTCCGCTACGGTCAAGAGGTCCCTGGCACGCTACCTTTCAGCGTCTCCTCAGGGCGGCTGCGACTCGGCAGAAGTCGTGAGATACTCCGTTCAACAGAACAAACTTCCTCAGAAGTTGTAGGGCATTAGCCTGGTGATAGTCACAGCGAGGCGCCGTGACCACAGCAGAGATGGATGACTCCATCAGACTGGAAAACTGAGTCCGAAGTTCCACTCAGCAGTGGAAAAACTCCAGAACTCCAGAACAGCTAGAGCTGAAGAACAGAACTTCACTCCAGAACTACTCCACAGAACCCCAGAAGACTCAGAAGACTAATAGTTCCAGGAAGTGTCGACTTTTAAAGAGTTCTGCTTCCGGTCACTTTAGTAAGTCCTGATTGGTTGAAGCAACCAACAGGGGTGTGGTTCTAGGGATGTCAAAGGGTTTTTACAAGTCAAGAAAACAGCAAGAATGTTTTAGGAACAGGCAGAGAAATGTATTGGCGAAGTGAGAAACACTGCAGGTGCCAGTTTTCTTATTTACTGTCTGAGAGTTTTAAAAACACGACAGCCCGTTCTAACAACTTGTTTTTGACTGTCTCTGACTTTTGACTAACATCACTCCTTCTCATTTCAGACAGAAGATCAAAATGCATAATTACTTGGTATAATAGACATTTAACTTGATTTCTAATTTAAATGAGGATTAAAAAATCATTAATACTGTTTCACCGTTGATTTAAAATGAGTGGTTCAACATTTAGAAATGATATGAACTAAACACACTTTGATTATCAAGATATTGTAAAATAGTAATGATAATATAAAAGAAGAGTGTTCTTTCAATTGATTAGTTCAGGATACAATTAGACAGTCTCTGGATGAGCTAATTTGTATTTCTGGATTCAAATCAATGAAATAACAGTTCCTGTCCCATGAAGATCTTCAGAGGCAGGTTTTGGTCGGAGGCCTAGTCCACTACACTGCTGCTGATCTGTTTCATGTTGCTGCTGATCTGTTCCATGTTGCTTCTGATCTGTTTCATGTTGCTGCTAATCTGTTTCATGTTGCTGCTGATCTGTTTCATGTTGCTGTGTTCATTCGTACTCATCTGCTCACACAGACTCATGTTCGTGCTGCTTTTTGGTGTTTTGTTTTTATGCTATTAGTGCTGAGTATCTTATCTTCCGGTAAGATGGCGCCCGTGTACATGGCTTGCAATCCACCTCTGCTGATGGTGTTCGGATTATTTTTGTTTTTTGCATTTCTCATCTGTGACATCAACTCTCTGCTGGTGTATGACAGACAACAACTTTTGGATCTTCATTTTTCTGTCAATGAAGTCGCTTATTTGGAACAATATGAGCGTACCTCTGGACCCCCATCCCCCCTCCTCCCCCCCTGCTGGCGGACGTGCCAGCTTACCTTCGCTGTGCTCCTCACCTCCCTGCCCGGAGATATCACTTCAGACGCCGGGGAAAATGTGCTGGTCAGCTGGTGAAGCTGAAAGCTCTGCGCGCTGCATCTTCCTCTCCTGTGTGCCCAGACCAGGTAACCAACGGGAGTTGTCAGCCGGTGCGCAGCTCGGACCGACCTGGAGGGGCGGTTATTGAAAACCTGCGGCCATTAGTACGCGCTAACTCCACCGCTGCTAGCTCCACTTCGGACAATATCCGGATGTATTTGGCCAACGCTAGATCTGTTACCAACAAAACTTTTATCCTCAGGGACTACTTTCAAGAGCACGATTTGGACTTTCTCTGCATCACAGAGACTTGGATGTCTCCGGGTGAGTCCAGCGCCTTGACGGAATTACTGCCACCGAACTGTTTGTATTTTAACGCCCCGCGGCCATGAGGCCAGCGCGGTGGTGGATTATTAACAATATTCAAATCAACTTTTGACTGTAAACAACTGCCCATCCCAGTTTCCCGCGCCAGCTTTGAGCTGAGCATCTTTGAACTCGAACATTCACCTTCAACGTTATTTGCATTAGTCTACCGCCCACCTCCATCTAAGGATTTCATAAATGAGTTTTCTGACTTCTTGGCTGAAATCACACCAAAATATGATCATGTTTTAATTATGGGGGACTTTACTTTGCACGTGTGCTGTCCTGAGAAGCCCTTGGTTAAGGACTTTTTAGATTTATTGGACTCATTTAATTTAACTCAGGATGTAAACGATCCCACCCAAGAGCGTGGACATACACTGGACCTTGTTTTAACTCGTGATGTGACTGTTAGTAATCTTGAAATTGGTGATAATGTTTTTTCAGACCACATGCCAGTCCGGTTTGAGTTCACCCTCCCCCATCATCCGGATGAAGAGCATCTCAGCGTGACCTCAGCAGAAGTAAGGAGTACCTTCAGGAGGATTAATCTGCACAAAGCAACTGGCCCAGACAACATCCCCGGAAAAGTGTTGAAGGAATGTGCTGATCAGCTCTGTGAGGTGCTGGCAGACATCTTTAACACCTCACTTACCCTGGAGACAGTTCCCACCTGCCTGAAGACTGCCACCATCATCCCAGTCCCAAAAAGCTCTACAGTGACTGGTCTGAATGACTATCGGCCAGTGGCCCTCACCCCGATAGTCGCTAAATGCTTTGAAAAACTGGTCATGACTCACATCAAAACAACCATCAACATCAACGAGGACCCTCATCAGTATGCATACCGTGAGAACCGATCAACAGAGGATGCAATCTCCTCTGTGGTCCACACTGCGCTCAACCACCTGGAGCAGAAAAACTCTTACGTCCGTATGCTCTTTGTGGACTTCACATCCGCCTTCAACACCATGATCCCCCAAACCCTGATGGACAAACTATCCACACTAGGACTAAGCCCCTCCATCTGCAACTGGGTACTAGACTTTTTAACAAACAGACCACAGTTAGTGAGGATCCACAACCTCTCCTCCTCCACCATAACCCTCAGCACTGGCTCTCCTCCGGGATGTGTGTTGAGCCCCCTCCTGTTTACTCTGCTCACATATGATTGTGCAGCTACCCATCCAGGCTGTCACATTGTAAAGTTTGCAGATGATACAGCGGTGGTGGGAT